AACTCAATTATGGCGGGTTGAGCATGAGTAGATACGAAAGTGGTATCGCCATCTATACTTAGGAAGCAAAATCAAAAATTACATCTAGTAGTTATCCACGATGGTTTGCGTCTGCGCTAAGAATTTTAAGTGCTTACTTTCGATTGATGTATATTTCCCATTTGAATAACATATAAAACATGATTTTTTTAATTTAAATTAATATAGCTTCCTTTGATTTCAAGGTATTCCATTGCGATTAGTCAGAATTTGTAGTATATTAGTGACTCTTTGAAAGTACCCACTAACATTTTTTTGTACTTTAACCTGTTTCATCGGTGCCGGCCTCGAAAGCTCAATTTTCTCAAAAATTGTTATATTTTCGTTCTTATCAACAAAACAGTTGAAGTTATAAAAAAATTGTCATAAAACAATTTGTAGGAAATTAAATTTCCTTAAAAAATACCCCTGTATGGATTTTCTGAGGTGCGTAGTTTAAAATGTATAAACAGTTTAATGTATTAAAATCTAAAAAAAAAAAATTTAATTTTTATTCTATGATTTTTTAACTCTACCTTGTTATCGAATCAGTATACGCTTTTTTAACAAAATAAACTTTATTCAATTATTTTTTAAAACAAAAAACACATGAATTTGATTGAAGTAGTAAATAAAGTAGAACTAAATATTAAAATGTAATTGTTGAATAAAAAATTATTTATAACACTGATTTTACTATCGTGGAGTTTTCAAATGTAAAAAGTATGATAGAAAGAAAAGTTACAAGTGCAAAAAAGGATTTTTCTAATTTTACATATTTTTAAAGAAAAGTTTGGTATATTTTTAAACTAAGAACAAAAAAAAATATTTTATACTCAATAAATATCAGAATTTCATATGAGACATTTTACTCTTGAATTGAAAAAAATTTTTCATTATCTCTTCCCGATATTACCGATCTTTTTTTCTAAAAAAAAAGTTAAATGGTTAATTTTGTTAAAAAAAGCGTAAGTTAAAAAATCATACAATAAAAATTAAAATTTCATATTTTTTTTTTTAGATTTTTATACCTTTTGGACTACGCACCTCAGAAAATCCATAAAGGGGTAATTTTGTAGAAAATTTATTTTCCTACAAATTGTTCTTTGACAATTTTTTTATAATTTCAACTGTTTTGTTGATAAGAACGAAAATATAACAATTTTTGAAAAAATTGGGCTTTCGAAGCCGACACCGATGAGACGGGTTCAAGTACAAAAAAATGTTAGTGGGCACTTTCAAAGAGTCACTAATATACTACAAATTCGGACTAATCGCAATGGATTACCATGAAATCAAACGGAGCTATAATAATTTAAATTTTAAAAATTATGGTCTATATGTTATTTAAATGGGAAATATACATCAATTGAAAGGAACCACTTAAAATCCAAATTATGGGCTCAAATTTTAAGGGAAGTTTTTTTCGATGAAAGGAACAAAATTTTCATGTGTCAGCGAAACAAAAAAAAATGTTCGTTTTAAATGGAACACCCTAAATACATATATATGCCGACAATCTTTTAGGATGGTAGGAGACGTTAAAATACACAATTTTTGTTCTAAAAATGTATGTCCGAAAACTCTTCGTTTCCAAGATAAAAGTTTTAAATAAAATTCAAATTTTAATGAATATCTCGAAACATTTTAATTAATTTCAATGAAAGTTTGTTGTTACCTATTTTAATAAATTATCTTTTGGACCTTTTAGCGTGTATCCAGCGTTATTATATAATTTTATTAGATTTCTGCTGAAAAAGAATATCACCATGTATGTTTTTAAATTTTTATAATGGTTTTGATAAAACGTTATAAAATACAACTCTTTGTCTTTTATTTTTTTTTTGTTGTATAGCGCCTTTCGTTTTGAGTTGTATTTTTAGTTGCTTCAGAGACGTGCATGCAAAAGTTTCGATATTATTTGTTTATCAGAAAGCGAAAAGAAATTCGCAAAAATATAAAGAGACAATAAAGTTATATTTTTAGTTGTTCTATTCAAAACAAGTATCAACATTGTAAATATATAATAGACACTATAACTTTTGGTTAAAATTCCCTGTATTTCGGACATGTGTTTATTCAACAAAAATATTTACCCCTACCGCCCTTCGGTTTAGTTTATTTTTGTTTAAACTTAAATTTTAAATTATTAAGATATGAAGCAGTGCATAGGGATCGTACTTCCACATATTTTTTTATCACCCTTTGCATCAACCTACCCTTATCTCAAAATTTTCAATGGTACCCTGCATTTATTGTAAAGTATTATGAAGGAGCACACTTTTAAGTACATCCAATATTAAAAAATTACACAGAATACTTTTTAGAATATTTTAATTTAAAATTTTGGTAAAATATTTTATTTGCTAGGAAAAATCAAGGGAGCTATGTATGAAAAGAATGTGAAATTTCTTGCCTCGATGCACTGCCTCACCCCCACAAATTCAAGATTCCAATTTGAATTTTACCAAAAATAAAGCCATCCAAAATTTTCAGGTGAACTCGGTATAAAGTTAAAATGTCCTAACACCTGATTTCGATGGATTTTTTTGGAGACTTCAATCCACAGACCATATTTTTATATATAATGAATTTAAATTATAGTCTAATAATAGTAATAGGTACTTACCACCCAAATTTATTACCTACACAAAAAACTACACAGTAAATGTAAAATTAACGAAAAATAATAAAAATATACTGGAAATATAATAAACACTCAAATTAAACTTACGAACACAAATCAAAAATACACATAACTAAAATAAATAAAACAAATAGCCCATATACATATACTTATTTATTTCAATCATTATTTGGAAATAGGGGTAAATATACCTACCTATTTATAATAGATTAGGGAAGGTCAGTGCTACTAACAAATTCTTATGATTATTATTTAATCGGATTATCCCAAGTACCTGCTGCGCCCCTTATTAGACAGCTAAATATTTAATTCACCGTAAACGAGAAAAACCTCGCTAAAGAATTGGTAGACTGCCTAATAATATATTTCTATAAATATGCGGTGTTGACAAATCTTTTTCACCAGACCAACTTATTTGAAAACATAAAACAGAAGTATGTTGCGTTTATTATTTAGCTGGCCGATTTTTGCGATATAATGGACAAAATATGGTGGTTAAAGAGTGTAGCTACATCTACGTAGGAAAGGATTGACTAAAATTCACAATTAAATCATGGAATCAAAAACCGGAAGTGCGCGATAAATATCATGCTATCATTTTAATATTTCTATTGTATTGCATTTACGTTTTGTGTTTGATGTATTAGAGATCCGTACTAATTTTAAATGGTTGACCAAGGGCCTTTCTTGAAACAAATTGTCCTTGCGTCTTTTCAAAGCTTATTAAAACATGTGTTTTTTTTTTTTTTTAGAAAATATTGAAACTAAAACAACATGAGGTTTCTTTTTTAGCAAATATTTAAACTGCATCCTTATCGTCACCCATTGTCCTTTATTTACATTTCAAAAAGGTGGCAACTCTAGTTTTCACCCAAAAATATTGCGGCCCGTGTGCAGATATTTTTTTCTTAACCATCCTGCCATCCTCCCGAGTCCTACCGCTTGCCGAGTCTTCACTTGCTGCGTTTTCCCGTACCTATCTTTGATTTTATAGCCAAAGTGATCATTGTCATATTTGTTATTATTGTCATACCTCGTTTCCGTTGGAAATAGGTTATGTTAAAAATTCAGGAAGATATAATAATGTTTATTCAAGAAAAATATAAATAATTAAGAATAATTGCAAGTATAAATACAAAGATAAATTATTATTCAAGTGAAATATACCTAATTACAAATAGATAATAAATTGGACATTGATAACTCACTGATGCATTATCTGTGTGCAAGCTAGTTTATTATAAATAGAATACGATATATAACAATAAAGAAATAAATACTAAAAACAAAAAGTACCTATCTTCGTTTCTCACTTTTGTAAGCTAGGTATAGGTACAGATATACTTGTAAGTAAAAATGTAGCTTTATAGTTAAATTTGGAAAAACAATTAAACATTAAAAAGTACCCATTCTATAGACATTTCTAAAAAATGCTGATAACCGAATATTTTCTAAGAAAAGTTGCAAAATTTTGATGTTCCTAACCTAACATTTTATAATTTTTTTTACAGTTTTGCCAAGAGTTTCAGTTCCCAACTGGATAATAAAATTTTTATAAATGATCAAAATATTATTTATAAAATAATTTCAGTTAGTTACAAAATAAAATATGTATACCCATTCTTTAATTGTAGAACAAAAATTGTCGATACACCTAAGGCAAAATGCCTATAAAATTGTAACTTCAACAAAACATTTCTTATACGTATTTTTTTAAGAAATATACAATATGTAATCGGTACTTTTTAGTGCAACCAAATTTTTTTTTAATTTCGACGTAGGTACCTAAAGCGTACCGGAGCCACAATATAGTTCTTGATTCATTCATTTACTAGCACTTTAAGTAGAAAGTAGAAAATTGTCAATTGAATTTTGGTAAAAAAAATCCTCTAAAGCAGAGAAAGAATGAAATTTGTTAACCATACTAAAAAAAGTAAAATACCTACTGAACACTTCAAAATTGGAGCTATCAAAGTAAATTTTACATATTCCCAAATTTTTTAAAATAAAATTGTTTAATTCTGTACGAAACAAAATCATCATGAAATTTGCTTCCTATGTATATAATTATTTCAAACGCGCAAACGCAACACGTAATGGACTCGGCAAGCGGTAGAACTCGGGAGGATGGTTAAGAAAAAATATCTGCGGCCCATGTAACATAACAAACAGATTTATGTGGCCCGAAAGAAAATTGATGAATTACAGCACTCGCCTGCGGCTCGTGCTGCAAACTTCATCTGCGTGAGTTATGACCTGCATTACCGCTCGTTAAATAATATACTATTAAAAGATATATTTACATAGTAGTTTCTAGAACTAATTTAAATTTTAGGCAAATACAATGTCCAAAAACACTACTTACCAATAACTGGTTGATTAGAAACGATTCCTCTAGTATCCAAGCTATTCTGCATCCAGATCAACAACATAAACAATGCAGAAAACAAATAAAAAATGTTTTAGACGATTCTGTAATGAAAAAAGAAGTAGCTTACAAAAAACAGCTAAAGAGTTCCAATACCTGTTATTGCAAAGAAAAAGCAACACAACCTACTTTATTTAGAAGACCCAATAAATGTCTGTCTCTAGAAGAATTTGAACAAAAATTAAAGAATAGTGATTTACTAAATGGATTATTAAAGGCTAGAGCATCGTTAAATTGCTATTGTAAAGGTAAAGCAATTTTAAGTTATTATGAAAGTAGTGTGAGAGAAATAATCATTAATCCGTATCCATGAAAATAGCAATAAGTTTTATTAAAGTTCAGTAGATATAATTTTTATTGTTATTTATAAAGGTGATTTTATTAGAAGCACTACTAGATAATAGAAAGATGTACTATAAAATAGAGGTAAAGGTTTACTATGTTATTTGGAGATAATGATATACCTGCACTTTTAATTCTATAAAACTAATAAAAACATTATAATTTTATTTTTTAAAATACAAACTTTTAGGTACTCAAGCCTCTGCTCAACATATAGATCTGTCTGATATAGAAACATTAAGAAAATTCCAGAATGAAATAGACGAACTAAACGACATACTACCAATAACAGAGCAACGAGAAGATTACGAAATCTATAGAGATCTAGAGCACGAAAAATATTTAAAAGAAATCGCAGAATACGAAGATCAAGAAGAAAATAAATATGTTTACGAATCTGAAGGTGAAGATGATATACGGACAATCATGGGTAATTAGTTTTTTTTTGTGGCGATATTGGAGACTTATTATTATATAGATCATTTATAATGTTCTCAAATTATTTTAGGAACTGTTAGATCTAATCCAAAAGGACATTCCAGCAGATTTATCAGAGATGGTTTGACTGGTTCGGATCTTGAACATTTTGAAAATACCGAATCATATGGTGATGTAGATTCAGCACCCGATTCTCGCCAATTAAAATGTAATTAATATTTTTTCTATTTTTTTAACAACTTGGTATGAATACCAGTTAAAAAAATAAATATCTAAGGTACTTTTAGAGGGTCAAATTAGTTCAGTCTCAGTTTCAGTAGGTACAGTTGTCAGTTTTAGTGCAACGATCAGATTTTTGGCTTCTGGAAGTTGATATCAAAGACTTAAATTTCCTACTGTCATATCAACTCTTAGCTTAAGCATTTCAATACCCGAAACCTGTAAAGCAATAATAACAGTACTGCAGGATTATATAAAGGTAAGTGCGATAGTGACAAGTAAATCTTTTTATTTATAAAAGCTTACAAATATGTAGTCGTATAACATGTTATGTATCAGAATATTGCCAAAAAATAACTGGCTATTGAACTTCCTATCGGACTTAATTCTAATGTTGAAGCCAAAGACATAACAACATATAGACAAAATGTTTCATTCATAAATCCCATACAATTGCGGACTGTTATTGTTTTAAAATTGTTAGTGAGTGGAAGAGAGAAAGACAGATCTCTTATGACCGGCTGGCAACGTTGTAAACAGTGTCCATAATATGCTCGCCAGTAGCGTAAAACTTACCAGTATTGTTAGAGTAGTATGTTAAAACAATACGTAAATATGTAGGTATATTTTTTTAGTAATATATGTAATTATGATGATTTTATCATGTAGGTAGATTGGATTAGATTAGATTATGAGTTGGACGTTATTTGTCCTTGTCCACCGCGACCTTTTCAGATCTATTGTGGGACTCCTGTTTGTTTTAGAGTATGTCGTCTAGCCTGGTCTTTTTTATTATTCTCAGTAGCTTTGACAGTGGCTCCCGCATGTAGTTGCATGCAATTGGCTTTTCTTCACCCAATGTTAGAAACTTCGTTCCAGCCAGGCATTCACATTGGCACAGGACGTGAAATATTGTTTCCTCTTCTTCTTCATCACAGAACCTGCACAAAGTTGCTTCTTCTGCTGGATTTATGACACCCTTTTGAGGCGACAGTGTCCAGTAAGAAGGACTACTGTTATCCTAACGATTTGACGCTATTGATCCAGTAGGTCTTTCGTGAACTTGGCCGATGGTTCCTTGATACACTGTTTGGCCTATCTCAGTCTTGGATAGTTTTTCCACAATTCCTGAGACTCTGCATCCATTGTTTAATGGATGCCTCGCACAATGCCTTATCAACTCCACAGAAGGGTCCGGGGCCTGTCATGGCCTTATCTGAGCCTCCTCGGCCTAATTCGTCGGCCTTTTCCTTGCCCTGATATCCCTCATGGCCTGGAACCCAGGTTAAGGTCAACTTATTTTAACTACTTATTTTAACTACTAGCTCTGTCAGGTCTTCTAGACAGTCTTTCACCAGACGTGATTTGATTTATGGTGAGAGAATTGCCTTCAGAGTATATGACAATAGTTTTGCATGATACTTGCTGATTTTTCATGTAGGTAAATTCAAGTAAAAGTAAATTCATATACAAGCGAATTCAAGTTACCTTTCGATTTTTAATATTTATTGGTTTATAGTTTATTGGCATTTACTATATATTTGCCTGGTATGATTTAAAATTTTAAATTACCATTAAGTAGGTAGGGGTATCTAAATAAAAGTCTGTCCTAAAAATATATAATTTTTTAATTAATAATTACAAAAAAACATGGTATGGCAAAAAATATCGTAAAAAATCTGTAAAAATTTTTAAAATAATGTTTTAAATATAAATAATACTTTAATTTTATTAACTAAAATTTCATTTAATTTTTTTATGCTTAGTTATTAATGTTATACCTTACTGCAACGTTTCTTTTTGCAGCAGGTGGTATTCCAAAAACAGTTGAATCAGAACTAAAAACCCATACATTAGATATACATACATATAGGTAATAAATAATGTTTAGAGGTAAACAAAAAATTAATATTTTGTATTTTTACCTGTTGGATAAGTCATCCAAAAATAGAAAGCCCTCACACCGTCTGGAGTTTGCATCTTTTCTAGTATATCTAGTACCATTTGCACGTACCAAAACATTTTCAGGAAAACAGTGATCTAAACCCAACTCTGGGTTTTTTCAAAGGGGCTGATTTTCAAGGATTCCTATTAGAGAAAACCAAAGTTTTCTTTTCTCAGGATCTTGCGAAAACCTAAATAGAGTAATAAAAAATATGTATAGGTGCTCAATAGGTAAATCATTTTTAAGGTATTCTACATTTTACGTTAAATTTTCTTTGCCACTATTCAATATTTATTTATTGGTATAAGAAAAATTTACCAATTTATAGAAGGAATATCACTTTAAAAACTGTTCTAAGACTGTTTTAGACTACACAAGTTTTTGATACAATTGCTTGTACAATTTAAATTGTATATTATCAAACCTGCAGTAAATTGTCTGAAAAATTTAATTGGATAATCATTTTTCAAACAATTTACTATGTGATCCTATATAATTTAAATTCTATAAGAAATTGTATCAAATTTTGTACAAGCCCTACTCCACTGGTTCAAATGAAAACAACATATCTTAACCTAAAAATACTTACCGATGAAACCATACATTTCGACTTAAATGGTCTACCTTTTTGAACACTACACATGCATGTACCATAATTCTTTATATTTCTCACAAAAGTTCACAAAAATAGTATTTTATAAATGAATAAATCAATAAGTCACACAGAAACTGTCAGATACTGTCAGAAATACAAAATAGCTGTTATAACTGATTGGCAACGTTGCGGCTGGTTACGGTACTACATTTCATTCATAAAAATTGTAAATTCGTAAAATAAGATATTCATCGTCGCCGTATTTACGGAGTTCTTCGAAACCCTAATATTTTGTTTAGATTAATATTGATTTTTTAATAAAAAATTTAGCTTACATTAAAACTTCAAAGAATAATTTGATTAAAAACATATTTTTATTTTAAAGTTGAAGGTGGTAGCCATGTGTGAGTTATATGTTCAAAAAAGAGGTAAATAAAACAAGGGTGGTCCTTAAGATCTCACAAGAGTAATTTAATACGACCGGTTTCGAGGAGATCAGATCCTCATCATCAGGTATGGTCCGTATTACTCATCTATTTAAGACTAAGCTTAGAGATTATCACAGGGTCGGTGTAAAAAACAAGTATGCGAGTATTTTTTAAGAAATGCATAAAAAATGCATAAAAACAGTAGTTGCAACAAAAAGTTAATGTCAAAACACAAGTAGGTCTAAAACTATTAATTAAAATTATTAAAATATTTCACGAACGGACAAACATTAAGACGAAACAAATTTAAAACTTTTTTAAACCCTACAAGAAATAAAATGGGCTCTTAGAAAACATGAAGTGTTTATAAATAAATAAATATTTTAATAATTTTAATTAATATTTTTAGACCTACTTGTGTTTTGACATTAACTTTTTGTTGCAACTACTGTTTTTATGCATTTTTTATGCATTTCTTAAAAAATACTCGCATACTTGTTTTTTACACTGACCCTGTGATAATCTCTAAGCTTAGTCTTAAATAGATGAGTAATACGGACCATACCTGATGATGAGGATCTGATCTCCTCGAAACCGGTCGTATTAAATTACTCTTGTGAGATCTTAAGGACCACCCTTGTTTTATTTACCTCTTTTTTGATATTTTTATTTATATAATATACAATTATAGTTACAGGACACATCAAATTTTATTTTTCGAAAGTAATTTCTCCAAATATTTTTGACAGACTGATATAATCGGCAAAGACGCAATAAACGAGAATCTGGTGGGATTAATGATTTGCCACATAAAAATGTAAACAATTTGGTCTCTTAGTTGTAATGTCTTTGGTTGAAGCACATTATACATTCAATGAATTTAAAAATTGACCAGATTTCTGCTGCTGCTGTACGGACCATATTCGACATTGTGACAACGGCTAAGTTATTATGGCTGATGTTTTATTTGCGCTTCTGGGAGTTGTGGAGCTGTATATTAGGTAAACTGTGGTTTAGGCCTGATAAGGGAACGCATTTGGACTTTAAATATGGCATTGTTAATAATTTTTTAACGAAAGGTAGCATTTCGGGTGTCATATTGCTTAATTCTGCTCCAATATGATTACCAAATGCAGTGTGCATATAGCCTTTCATATTATCGTTCTTCGTCAATCGATCAGTCACCATTTGAAGCACTTTTTTATTTATCACATTAGTGGAGCTGCTGGATAGGCTCTTGACTTGTGTACCCGAGGGTCTCATATTTGTGGGTCGGGGAACTGATTGTAAACTATTTCTGGTAATAGGGCTTGACTCTTTAGACTGACTAGTACTTTTCTCATTAAGTGAGCGATTTGTTTTTTCTTCTATGGGATTTTCTCTCCGGCATCATGTGCATGATCATCAGCACCAGACAATGAATCCTCCTACAAAAAAAAAACATTTATTGGTACTAGAAATACCTCTAGATATGCAACGTAAACTGAGGTAATGTATTGTTTTAGATGCCAGCAACTGAAGCCGAATGAAGACATATTGCCGAGATTTTTCAAACTAGATGGGCAATTTCCTAATTGTCTTGGAGCTGTAGATGACAAGCACGTACGCATAATACCACCACCAGAAAGTGGATCCTTATTTTGGAATTATAAGAAATTTCATAGCATAGTGTTAATGGCGGTCGTAAATTTGAATAACGAATTTAATATGTGCGATGTCGGAACCAATGGAGCCATTTCAGATGGAGGTGTAATCAACAATTTTTATAAAAGATTTTTTAACAATGATTTACATTTACCACCGACGCAAGACCACCGTCTAGTACCACAAAACTGACATTTGCTTTTATTGGAAACAAAGCATTTGCATTCAAGCCAAACTTCCTAAAACCATTCAACAAAAATTCATTGAATTATGAACGTATGGTTTTTAACCACCGCTTATCAAGAGCAAGACGTATTGTTGAGATCACATTTGGGGTATTGGCAAATAGATTTAGAATCTTTCATACTTCTATATATTTGAGAAACATGGAAAATGTTGATATTGTAGTCTTGGCTTGCTGCTACTTGCACTAGTTTTAAGACACAAGGCAAGCGCTACTTATATTCCAAGTGAATTAAGCAGTTCAGATAGAAACCCAGTTCTTGAGGTGCAAGGGTTAGAAGATCTTCGAGTGACAGCAAATTAGAACAATGCTAGTAACAAATGGGAAAAATAAGTACTAAACGAAGGAAAAGTTGACTGGCAAGATGTAGTTTGCACAACATACATGGCATAATTTTCTGTATCTTTTGTTGAATTATGTACGATATTTAACTTTACAAAACAATAAAAACATTACAATATGAATTAATGTAGTATTTACTTACTTTATTTTCTGGATCCTTATCATCACCATCCGTTGTGTTGTCCATAGTATTTCTACCACTACGAACATCTTGTGTATCCCTAAGAAAGATTAACAAGTCGTAGTACACAAAGATGTTTCATATATATGTCACCACTTCCGGCTCCGCTTTTAGTAGCCTTAACCTTTTTTCGTTCTTTATTATTCGCCGATCGTAAATTGTTTATTTCGCTTTTACTATTTTTATAGTTGCATTGTTATCTTGCTCTTTGATTTTTTCAATAAAAACATCATACAAAACTTGTCTTTTGTTTATGTTGTGGTATTGCGAATCTGTTTTGTTCCACAGATATGGGTGTTGCTGATAAAGTTCTATAAACTCACTAATCAAGTCATGGTTTGCCGTGGCGCAAGGAACACACTACTTCTAGCGATAATTTTATTCGACGGAGATCTGATCGACAGGTTTGTTTATTCATCCGCTTAACTGACAACTGATACGATAACTTTTCCTATACCCATCGAGCCACAGCTCCATATCAGTTTTAGTTTTTTCTTACAATTTTTTGTGTTTACACATACAGATAACTGACAGTTCGACTGAAACTGAGACTGAACAGAGAACTGATCTAACCGTCTAAAAGTACATTTACAAAACATTTGTAATAAAAAGATTCTCCATCTGATTTGTAGTATTAATCTGATTTGTCATACAGTGTAAAATCGGATCAGAGGATACGAAATCAAAAAATGACTAGTTTAGCCAATAGAATATCATGAACTGTCTATCCAGAGTTTTACTATAAACTTTGTCTTGTAAATTATAAATATTTTAATAGAAGTTTACTTGAATTCATACAACCATATTTATTGGTTTAGATACTATTAAGGACTGATATGAGAATTATTTGCTGCATAAGTTTTTAAACACTCTAAAAAAATTTTTGATGTCTTTTCTTTTATTTTTGGAACATATGGTGTACCCTATTCAGATTCAAATCTTTTAGCGATGCTTTTGTTTTCATGAAGACCTTTGACAAGAATATCCAATTACCGTATAGGTACACCCAAGAGGAAAAATTTACATCTAGCATTCTTTATATTTTTGTTTACAGATAGCAAATTAAGATCGAAAAAAACCTTAGATACGTCCCCTAACACCAGAAGAACCAAGACTTCTACTGGAGCAAGTTCAGGATACGGCTGTGGCAGTATAGCGAATGGCAGTATGGATTTTCAAAAAATAAGAAAATTTAGGGATGATAATTATTTCGAAACACATGAAATCGATGAATGTGTTGGGACGGATATACCCGAACATATATGCGTTCATCAGTACAGGTTGGATGACAGATTATTGCCTCAAGCTGTTATTATGGATCGTTTTGGTAAAAGCAGGTATGAGGTTTATTTAAGAAAAAATAACGATTTATTTTTACTGAATAGTGTTTTAATTGAGATTTTATAGTTTTAACACGTTGGTGACTATTGAGGCAACCACATTTTTTATAAACTCTTTCCTTATCCTTAATCATTCGAATTATTTGGCCATTGTACCAGGGTGGATATGTACGAGAAATGGTAATCTTTTTTGGAGTGTGCCTTTTAAGAACCGATGTAATTTTATCTAAAAAATAATTTGTAGCTATTTCGGGATCACAAAGCTGACTAATAAAGTTTCAGTCAGTGTGAAGTAGTTCAGAATATAAAGCAATATAGTTATTATTTTTAAAATTAAGTTGGGATGTGTCTGACTACAAATTAACTGGAAATTGATTATATCTGTTATCAAAACTTATATTTATTTATTGGCAAGTTTGTGGTCAGAGAGAGACGGGCTTTGAATCTCAGGCCAGACCATGTGGATTTTTAATTAAATTGCATGGTTCGGTATAGGATTTGATGTGTGCCGTATTAATAGAAATTCAATGGGGGGTGAAGGAGGTCAGAAAAATGCCTGAAAGATTAAAAAAACTGTATATCAACCTCAATTAATTTCTGAATAAATCTGTTAAATAAGCAATGTTTGGTTTGCACCTGATTAAAATTTGTTTGTGCCAAAAAGAGCAAAAATTCTTGTTAAACATAAGCTTTTTAAAATCTAGCATACCTTAGTGTAAAGAAGCAATTGATAAAAGTTCTCTTTATTTTCTTCACACAACTGTATTTCGGAAATCACCTAAAAAAAAATTATTTTGCTGAAAATCCACGTTAATTTTCCTTGTCTTTGAATCCACTGCTGCATTTACGATTTTGAACGACGGATTGATTTCGAAGTGATTTCGGCGATGACTTCGACCATGATTTTCGATGATGATATACGAATTTTCGAGAAAATTTCTAGTGATTTCGGTGATTTCCAGTGAAAACGTACCAATATTTCAGGAGTGGTTTACCCATCTGTATTGCTAATACCCCGGGTACATTTTGTTTTAAGTGGCTTACAAATCCACGATAGCACCCAATCATGGCAGATACTTTATCCGTTGCTACTGATATTATATTTAATGTTGGTATCGCTTGTTCCATGAAGTAATCCTTTAAAACATTAAATATTGATTCAGGTCCATTCTTTGTGAAATTTTAAAAAAAAGGTCTTTAGTTTGTATTTTTCATAAAAAAAGTCCTCAGCTTATAATTTTATATATAAAAAAGCGTGACACAAAAAGAGTGGCATTTTTGTCAAAACGGAACAGTTTTGTATTGTGTCGTTGCGCGTACAAGCAAGTTAAAAAACGTGGTAAATACGCCTAAAGCGTGACGTCTGGCAACCCTAGTAATACAGTTTTTAAAATTTCTTAAACTGCTGGCAATATTAACTTTTCTTCGATAGTATGGGGTTTTCCGGACTTTACTATAAGTAGCGAGATATTGTAAGAGACTCGCAAAACATCATCATTACACGTTGAAGCAAACATTTTCTTCACTGTGAATCTCTTCTGAACTTTATCTTTGAGTGTTTGAGAATATTTCAAATCTTTACCTATTTTATTAGGATAACATCTTCTCAAATGATGCACTAGCTTAGATCAGCGTTTCTCAACCTGTGGGGCTTATTTCTCTAGTATGTCTAGTAAGGCGCCTCTACGTAGAAACGTCAGCACATCAATTAAAAAAAAACGATATAATTAATAATAAAAAAAATACGTGTGACACTCAGGGACTGCCGCTGTAAAGAAAGCTATTGCATAGCATTTTTTATCAACTTATGCAATTATCATTATTTATTTATATGCTTTTTCTTTGATATAAATTCAAGTTACATTTTTTGAGCGTGGTGACCGACAAGAAAACAAATTCTTTTATTGAATAAATGGGAAGTTAATATTGTTTAAAATATTTTTATTATCTTACAATACATGTAGGTTATTCAGGAATTTTTATCATTGAAACTATAGGTTTATGGTAACTGAAATAAGAAACATAAGTTTGAGACTTGATATCCTCTAAATATCTGGAAAATACCGCGTTAATGATGGTCCCATATTTTGTTGTGGATTCTTGTGGATCATTATTCATTTTCAAATTTAATTTTTCCGAAATTGTGTCTGAAAGAGATAGAATTAGTTATGAGCAGTTAGCAGCTAGTCTAGACGCATACGTCTAGTCGCACGCACACAAACACCGTGCCGAAGTCTACCGAACTGAAACGACGTTAAACGATTTTTTGATTTTTCGATTTTTCGATTTTTCGATTTTTCGATTTTTCGATTTTTCGATTTTTCGATTTTTCGATTTTTCGATTTTTCGATTTTTCGATTTTTCGATTTTTCGATTTTTCGATTTTTCGATTTTTCGATTTTTCGATTTTTCGATTTTTCGATTTTTCGATTTTTCGATTTTTCGATTTTTCGATTTTTCGGAATTTCTTGATTCGGTCGCCGCGCTCAAAGCCCGCGATAAAAGCTATGTAATAGCTTAAAAAAATCACAGAAAGAAAATCAAAATGATATTCATTCTGACATTACAAAAAATTAAGTAGGTACACTACATGTTTAAACTTATATACTATTTAATTATTATAAATATAATTGTATCAGTGTATCAGTGTCAAACTCCAAATAAAACTAATAATAAACTTATGAGTACTAGTGATTCCCTTGTATCTGTCTCGCATAGCAAAGTTCTTCATAAGGAGGTTTTATATTACAAATAGCCACTCTCAGTTCTTTTTCTATATTTAGTCGATACCTACATTTTGTCTTTAAAGCAGTCACCGCAAAGGTAGTGTTCGAGAAAGTCTCGAACACATTCAGTTTAGTATTTACAATAAATATATTTTTTTTGTATCATACTGTATATTTTTATTCATAGTATCGACCCGCAGTGAAAGACCTTTGGTTTTCCCTAATATTTTAAAATAGCAAAATAAGCTCCAATCAAGGGTTATAAAATTTCTATTAGAGCGGATAATAGTCCGTCATAACTTACTAAAGCTAGGTACTAATCCACAACAATCTTAAAGGACGGTTTTTCCCGAGCAATAGGCCTGGTACTTCTGGGGGTTTAAGGAGGGAGACCGAGCTGATAAAAAGAGTATCGCTGACAATAATCAGAGACTTCAACGATATCTCGTGTTTAAATAAAACGTTTGTAAACCGTTAGATTTAATTAGGACTATGGGCCATGTGGCCTCCCCCACCTCGACCTTTTCAGATCTATTGTGGATATCCTTTAATCATTATTTAGAGTACCTTGTCTAATGCGGTCTTTTGTAGTAGACTCCATAGACTGGGAAGTAGTTCTCTGGTATAGCTAGTTGCCCTCGGTTTTTCTTCTCCAAGTGTAAGGAATCTCAGTCTTACTAGACCTTCGCAGTAGCACAATACGTGTTCTGCCGTTTCCTCTTCTTCTTGACAGAATCGGCACAAGGCCTCTTCTGTCAGACCGATATTGAACATATGTTTGTTAAGCCTACAATGCCCTGTTAATAGACCTACTAGTATTCTAGTATTTTTCCTATTAAGGCTTAGTAGATGCTCGGTGAGTTTAGACGATGGTCCTTTTAAGAACTTTTTGGCCTGTCTCTGTCCTGTTGAGTTTTCCCACCACTCCTGAGATTTTTTAAACATCCACTGCTTTGTGCATGTTCTGATAGTTGTTTTTGTTACACCACAGAAGGGTTCTGGGCCAATAAGAGCATTTGAAGCTCCTTCTCGGGCTAGTAAATCAGCCTCTTCATTGCCTTTGTGTCCCCTGTGGCCTGGTACCCAGGCTAAGGTTAGTCTGTTTTGACTACCCAGCTCTGTTAGGGCTTTCAAACAGTCCCACACAAGCTTTGAGTGTACCTGCATGGAACTGAGTACTTTTAACGTCGCTTGACTGTCTGAGTATATGACAATGGTTTTTCCATTTACCTTCTGTCTTAATACTTCTTTTGCGCAGTGATGTATTGCTGCTATTTCTGCCTGGAATACTGTCGCATGTTTACCTAAGCTCAGTGAGATTCCTGTCTTTGGCTTGGTACTATATATACCTACTCCTGAACCTTCATGGGTTTTGGAGCCGTCTGTATACCAGGTGAGATCTGCATGAATAGGAGGTCCTCCCGCCCACGCTTCCCTGTCTGGTATACTTACTTTATATTGCTTTTGAAAGCTATACTTTGGAAGCATTTCGTCTGAAGGCACTCCCATTATTTGGTCGTTCTCCAACTCTTTATATAGCTCGCTGTAGTCGCGTCCATGCAGACTGCTTATGGGCGATAAACCTTTGTGCAGTCTGTATGTGACAGACCTGGCTTCGCCTTGAATGAATATATGTAGTAGTGTTAGGTTTAGCATGACTTCTATAGCTGCTGTTGGAGTCGTTCTCATAGCTCGCGTGGTACTCAGGCATGCTTGCCTTTGAATACCATTGAGCTGTCGAATGGCTCCAGCTTGCCGAGTCTTTGGCCACCAAACCACCGACCCGCAGGTTATCATCGGCCTTATGACTCTGGTATATAACCACAGGGACATTTTTGGTTGTAATCCCCAATTTTTTCCACACAACCTTCGACATAAGTTGAAGGACGTTGTGCTCTTTTGGGTGACTTTTTGCAAGTGTTGATTCCATGTTAACCTGTGGTCAAAGATGACTCCCAAGTATTTGGCCTCTTGAGCGAATGGAATCTTCACTCCTTTCAGTACTGGTGACTTTAGTTCTGTTGGTACTTTTCGTTTTGTAAAGTTGACTATTGTGGTTTTGTGAGGGTTTACTGTTAGTTCCTCCTCTCTCCACCACTCGTCGACAATGTTTAGAGCGGTTTGTGTGCGCTCCGATATTGTACCTGCGAACCTGCCTCTTACGACGATCGCCAGGTCATCGGCATACCCTAGGCAGTAAAAATCTGCAGATATTAGCCTTTTTATAAGTTCATCCACTAGGACTGACCAGAGAAGGGGTGATAGTACTAC